GCGACGAACTGATCCGGTCACTGCCCATTGGCGGCTACACTCAGAACGTGATGTGGAGCCAATCAGAACCTGAAGCATCCGGTCTACTTTTATCCGTGACTTGCTCTGCCGAACTTGTCGATGCGTTAAGAGCGCCGAGAAAGAGAATTCCACAAATCTCAATCCTTTTCTTTCCTTTTCCTACTGAAGGCATGGGCGGAAGTGGTGTAGTGGCAAGTGGCACGCTTACCACGCGAGCGGTCCGGGGATCAAATCCTGGGTCGTGAGTCGCCCGGGCCAACCAAGCCTTCCATCCCTCCGGGGTCGGTTAATTGGTACCAGACTTGTCTGGGAGGATAAAAACACTGACTTGTACATCGGCTGGCCCCCGCAAGTCATTGTATAGGCCACATCGCATTCAAACGCCACTACGAATGTACAAATGGAAGTAGAATGCGTGCCGCATCCCAAAAAGGGATTGATCAACGGCAAATGCTTTTTTCTTTATCCTATGAGCACGTGCAAAAAGAAAGTCGAATTACCTGGACCACAAAAAAAAACTTGTTTTTAATTTTTTGCTTCATTTTTTTTGCTCCAATCTACTCTGATGCGTCAATCGGAGATGTTCCATACAACAGCGTGCTGTCACATCACGACAAAATCAGAGCCCAGATTGCCCATGATCATTGAAAAGAAAAGATGGTGTCCTGATGCCAAAGCTAAACACAACAAATAAAACAGTTTATTTCAGTAAAAAAATTCAGAAATGTACCGAACATCAGACAGCATTCGCAGTACTTCCTTCAAATTTCTTGCACTTTCGAAATGCTCACGGAACATTCGGAAAGACCCAAACAGCTCAAATGCGACTTTCGAAACAATCATAGTGCATTAGTAAAAATCGGAGTTATAATCTGTATTACCCGTATTTCATGAAATTTGGAGCGCGTCTTTACTCAGTCCGCATTCCAGCCAACCCCGCCTTAAATGCATTCAGATCTCGTCGGTCCAAAGCAGACAGCAGGTCATGCGGAGCTCCACGCATTCGAATAGTCGCCGAACGTAACGTTGGCCAAATGGACGAGTTTTCCTTGCCACCTTTTTGTAAGTCCAGCGCTGATACGAAATGTTCCACAGCTTCTCTGAAAGGGAGTACTGATAAAGAAATCTGTCACGGCACATGAACAATCACATTGAAAGGAGGAATTCACGCGAAGGTCAAAGAAGGAAAATTGCATAGTTGGGAGACAGGCGGACCTCCTGAGGGTGCTGACCGACGCGCAATTGGCAGCGAAAGATTTGACCTCGGCGATCTAGCATGGCTCACTCTTGGCGCGGTTGGCGGGTACGCCCACCGACAATTCTCTCCTCTTCGTGCAGAACTTGTAAAGTCTGAATCATCGCCGAATAGCCCATTTACGACGAAATAACAGCCCTTCGGAATTATGTTAGAGATGCTCAGTGAAGCAGGAAAGAAGAAAAACCCGAGAAATAGCCTAAAACCCGAGGAATAAGGACCCCTTCCTTGTCCGTTGACTTGTGCATTGATG